AGACTAGAATCTTTATTACTGGAAATGTTTTCTTAATCTAGCAATATGACAAATTATCGCTGAATTTATGTGTCATTTTTAATTGTTTAAAACTGTAATTCAGATTTTAAAAAGAGCCATTTTACTGTGACCAGCAGGAGTAAAATATTCAATGCACTTCAAAATTGGACCGATTTTTTCAAAACATGCTGCATAAAAGAGTATTTGACTGTTTATGATGGTCCTTTTAGTGCCAATTAATGTAAACAGACAAAACGGAAACGTCACCACCCAAACTAACTAGTTCCTATTTCTTCCGTTTCCTAGAATTAATCTACTCATTGATATAGACCGACACAACTGTCGTGTGCGGTACTCAGAGTACAAAGTAGTGCATGGCTTTTCCAATCTCTTCCCACGTTTCTTGTTTTTCGGAAACAATTTGTAAGCACAGGCTCAGCAGTGCAAAACTGTAAACCAAAACAGAAAACATGCCATTGATTTTCTGTTGTTTTCTATTGAAAAAGTTGGATTACTTCATCTAGCTGTTGTGATGCATAGACTGTACATTTGCTATCACAGTATTGATCAATTTAAATAAGTTACAACCTTGGTAAGCACCAAAACAGATCAGCTAAATCCAAAATCTTGTAACAGGCCATATATCAATCAAAAATAATAGCTTTAAATCTAATCTACACTGCCAAGGAAAACCAGTCAGAACATGGGAAATTTAGTAAGATAAAAACCCTCTTTAACCTGGAACCAGCAGACTAATTGCTTAGTAACCATGGATATATATTTGATTTATATTCAAGTTGAGTAAGATTTATGTAATTAGTCTGTAAGCGCAAAAGGCAGACTGATGGATCGACAGGATTGTCAATGTCAGTGTTTTCTTTAGTCTCCTTGGATCCTTGATGGAAATGCGGCCTAGCTCTCAGCTTCACTTGAGAACCAGTTTTCCACCTTGTGATTCAGACTTTAAAATATAGTCATAAACGTTTAAATATTTCAGACACACACGACAGTTATGGCCGACATTAGGGTTGGTTTAATATACACTTATATATCAAAAGGGGAGTATTGAAGACGAAGGTATACTGAATTTAATGTGGTCTTCTTGTGATTCATACACCACAAATCATTCCAAGTAAATCTTTGATGTTTTTAATATATATGTCAAACTGATAGGATGTATAAGAGTATGACCCCTGGCAGTCTCCTACCATGGGTTAACTCATTCACCCTGAAATTTCATAATGAACTATTCCAACCTTCGAATTGGAAGAGTTCAAATGCGTCTTCAGGGGTGAATGAGTTAATGACAGACAGACCCTGCTTCCTTGGACATATTCATGATTCACATTTTTATGGGAAACCCAATATTAGCGTGATGTCAATATTTCCAACCAATTATAGAGAATTACTGTCAGGAATGCTGACATTTAACAGACAGGAAGTCCCGGACATTTGAACTTTTGAAGGTCACAACTTACAATTTACCTAATTTACCCATGTGCTATTGTAAACTGATCTGATAAAAGTGTCAATATTTTATCCCTTAATGCCTGTCATCTATATCCTACAAGTGAGGGTAGGATGAGCAGGGAGCATGCAGTATATAAATAATGACAGGAAGTAAATAGGGAGGGGTCATTTATAATGACTGGAAGTTGGCCCTAAGTCAACAATATGAAAGACATTACTGTCATATTACAAAAAGGGCAATTTATAACTATTATTTTAACTATATAAGATATCATCTTATGAGGTTATCTCTTTTAAGTTGGCATTTTATTGTTCCACTATTTCCAGATTATCTTTTTGTGAATAAAACATGATAAAATGACAATACAAAACCAAAAGAGTCTACTATAAAGTCAGGGGGGAAATTCAAGCTGGGTTGTGGTATGGATGGTCGAGTGTATTGGGATAGGAGGGAACCTGGAGGAATGATGGACTCAACTCAGTGGTTGTGGTAGGTTAGGAGGATAGGGGGAGGGGGTACATGGCACCATGCAGGTCTCACACTCTGGTTGTGAGTGGTAGAGTGGTGGTGAAGGAAGGTAGGAGTCTGGGGGAGACTGTCCTGGGGCCACCAGATCATAGTCAGTGGAAAGGCAGAGGATGGAGAAGGTGACTGTGGGGTGGGGGGCATTATGTCTCAGTCTCAAACAGTACCTGTGGAAGGGAAGAGGAGGGGAAGGGACGAGTCGGGGGCGTTGTACCAGATCTCAGCCATGACACCTGATATGTATGGTGTGTGGTGATTACAAGCTGGAGAAGGCTTCTACTTCCCACATCTGGGATTCTGTATTGGTTCCATCAGGCACACTAGGAGTTCATTCATACTATATACATAACACGTAACACGTAATGCTGGCACTTCATCCCAGTCATTCTATGATCTATGATACAACAACTTGTATTACAGTCAACCACATTTGCATGTTCACGTTGTTATATTTATTTTATACTTGGTCAATCTTGATACATTGATACGAACTGAGTTAGCGTTACTTTAGTGATACAGTCAAGGCCATGATATACAAGTTCTGTATTTCTCATTGACAATACAGGATGTTTGTAGTACTCTATAGACAGAACCTTTTTTGTACTGAAATTAATTAGTTGTTATTCATAATAAAATCAACATTGTTGAGCATCGATCAATTTACATAAATTTTATCGGTAATTTGACATCATTTTCTGCCCCAAATGACATTTCATAAATTCATTCTATTTAAGATGTCATGATCGAGGCGAATTGAAAATCAACACAGGAAACTAATTAATAACACAATTTGGAATGATTGAACTACAAATATACAAATAGAATACAACTCAACACGTAGTAGAAATAGGCACAGAAGAGTACTGTACCTTAACTCATTCACCCTTGAAGACACATTTGAACTCTTCCAGTTCAAAGGTTGGAATAGTTCATTATGAAATTTCAGGAGTGAATGAGTTAATATTATGTACAGTATACAGGTAACGGTAAAACTCTATTTATAGTAAAGTGGAATTTTATGCACAGAAAAAATTGGTAGCTGTCTATTTGCAGTATAGAACAGTAAAATACTAAGTACTGTAAGAAGGTGGATGTCATGAATAAACATATGCAAAGTAAAACAATAGACATTTATTTTGTAAACAAAAAAAAAGGTTGACATCATATATAGGGTAGAACCTTTGTACAGTAGTAAAACTATATGTATAACTTTATATACAGTAGAGAGATAGAAAATCTAGGTACATTGTGATAAAACTGGACACTGAGTGATCTACCTTTTGACGTAGATAGTGCAATGGTGTTTTGTGAAGAATGTGTGACTTAATTGCACGAAGAACTAAATGGCCCTTGATTATGTATATATTACATACATAAAAAACAGCCTGCTGTAGATTTCCAAATTACTAGCACTATAAGTAATACACACACAAAGGACCTCAAAACAATCAGCTGGTTAAGTACAAAGAAATGAATATATTTATATATATATGTATAATTATCAGTGAAGACTGAGCTTTACCTCCCCTTGTCTACCACACTAGCATTGTATATCAATGTACACATGGATATAAGCTTGTAACTATGGTAATTACTTACAAGATTGTGTATCGCCCTGTACCTTCCCAGCTCATTAGCACTGATTGCAGTGTTAGGAAGGGCGACACCTTTTATCTTACAGAGAGAACCACTGATCTAAGTTTACAGACAGTTTGTCTTGGGGGGAAAACACTGGCCTTGTCAGGGATGGGAGCCAAAAAATATCTATGTATCATAAAATCCTGAAAAATCCCATATTGAAAACTGTTTATACCATGGAAATGGATCTGGATCATCTGGTTGGGAGGATTATCTCCCTTGACTGGAGAATAACTCCATTACAGAGTCTGGGAGGTTGTGGGGGTGTGAAGCAGGGATATAGTTTATCTAATGAGTTACTTCCTATAAAGATTGAATAAAAAAGATTTGTATTAGTCCATTAATTATATCTGTAAGCCCTTAAAAGTATCATAAAACAGGCAACTTGTCCACTGCAGATACTTGACAATTATTCATGACCTCAAAGTGCTGGGTATAGCTATCAGAAATATTTTTTGGCTGTAGACAAACTCTATGTAAGTGTGTAAATATTATACATGTTCAGGGGGTTTTCTGGCAGTCCTACAAAGTCTGGTGTAGAGTATTATCTAATGATGTGGCCCTACTGGCTAATTAATAGCAATCATACTTGTACACACGAGAATTAGTATTCGCCAGTAGACAGGAGCATTGGGTACCCTTGCCAGCAGTACACAATGCAAAATGCTTAGATTAGCAGCCAAACAATATTTGGGTTCCTATGGATTCATGTATAGCACTTTCTAAATATTCTTACCAATACCCCTTATTAATACCTCATTCGATCAAATAAAGTAGGATGGGATTTTTTTTATCATACATTAATATGTATGGAGCATATCTATTATCAGAACAGGAGTATAATTACCTTACAATATCCATATTATCGCAACTGCATAAATTGCACCACCATCCTGAAGTTTCCAAATGTCATAGGTTCTTGTATTTATTTTTAGCTGGTTAGCACCGACTGCTTCATCAGCATCCATTTAGCTTCATCGTCAACAGTAACGGAATTAGGCCGGTTAACCTAAGTACACTATCTATGTGAGTAAATCATAGTCTGGTGAAATTAAAACCCATTCTACAAAACTTACTGTTAAGGAGTTAATATAGCTTCACACTGTGATTACAAAACCACACATCTTCGTCAAATTAGAACAGTTCTTGATCTTGAGTGGTCACCAATGTCTGCCGCCCCCTCCCCTCCCCTCTCCCCCTACCCCCATTAAAAAGCAACACTTCACAGAGTTAACATAGCCCTACATCATGACTATACAGTAAAGTGACCACAAGGGTGTGTCAGTGGAAACAGTAACACAAACCTAATACAATAGAATTGTCTAATAAACACATCTACAGAAAGTCAAGAGAAAGAAATACTCACAAGATACATACGATGACTATCCATCACTAGAACCTGGAGAAAAATCAAATCGGTTAATTTCTTGTTTTGACGGACATCATTTACTTATTAGGTAGTAATACTCCGTGAATAACTCAACTGTCAACAAATTCACTTGTTTGTTTCGCAGGTACATTTAAACAGTGCCTGCGAGCAGAAGATCCATTCACGCTATCTATATATGTTGACCTGAAACCTTGTTAAGTTATCTAACTGTAAGGTCAGTGGACTTTCTATCACTTCAATAACAATGTTTTCCACTTAATTTGAATCGCTAGAAATACTTACAATGCTATACCTACATTGGCAGCCCCACAACGACAATGACATTTGTACAGACAAACCTCGGGTGCCAGGTGCCTGATCATCAACAGGTGTCAGATCCTATTCTATCTTACAGACCGTACACTCTCATCAACAACACATTCCTGTCAATGAAAATCAGGTTCACCAATCAACAAGGTGTTATACTGTATTACCTGTACATTCCTGAGAATTAAGAGGATTTCAATGTTTATCAAGAGATTTTCAGTCAAAGGTAAACAAAAGTGGGTATATGTACTATCTGATACACATATATGGTCCCCAGAACTCGGCCAAGGAGAGCACATTTGTTGCTGGAGTAATATCAGGTCACAAACCTTGGCATCCATGGTGTCTTTAATATGCTTGTTTGGTCAGTGGAGGTCCAGTTAGGTCACTAATATTGGTCATCCACAAGTGGTCAGTTGTACATCCCTCAGTGTAATAGCGTGTATAATATGGCCACACTATGAGCCCACCACTGCCACTGCCACCAGTAGTAGTACTGTTACTGTGTAATATACACAGACCCTAAGTCACTGGAAAGCTGTCAGGGACTGTCAGACCACAGCATTGCCTCCACCATAGTACCAGCTAACAGAAGTATAGTAAACTACACAGGGAATAAAGCTGGGTTTTGTTATCACTATGTGTCCAAGGATAAAAAAAAATACCCAGACAAATGTCACAAGGCTGTCACTCCATATACATTTACCGCTCTCTCTACCAATGGGCAGGTTTGATCAATAACACTTCCCTCTGACTATTGAGAGGCAGTTGCCATGGCAATGACACCACCCGAACACCTCTCTGGTCTGGTGTTTCACACAGTCTTGCCATGTGACTTGAACCAGCATGTATGTATTATATATCTAACAATAACGATACTGTGGTGATAAGTATATAACCTATTATCGCTTTGCTAATAAGGATCCCGATCCAATGATCAGTCCTGTAGAGAGTCTGCAGCCAATCAGCAGTGATATACGAACCCCGTGCAGCCAATCAAATCACAATTAGCTGGACCTTGTTACGGCCTTTTGTAGTGAGTTACATATGTGCAAACAGGGATGGCTATATACACCTGTTTATCAAGCTTGCATCATCTCAACCCAATTAGTAAGCTAAATCAGTATGCTTACTTATCAGACAGCTACACAACCTGGCAGATAGGAGGGTTTCCTGTTCACTGGTCTCAGGAATGCCATGGTTAGGAAAAGATTCTCACAGAAGATATCCTAAACTCAATATTCTGACTGTATAAATTAAGTCAATAATTAGAAGTTTTTATCACAAGACTGGTGTTTATATTCAGTGAAAAAACATCCATGTCATATTCGACTAAGCTTTGTCTGGTCCTAAATCCAGTGAGTTAAGGCATTGATCGTAATCTCCCGATTTATTGTCTAGCTTTGAAGGCAAGTGGTGGCAACCCTATAACTAGAAGTTTTAGTCACATAACGCTGGTGTTATTCAGTGCAAACATCCATGTCTTATTCTTTGTGTATATTGTTATGTATTATAATCAAATATGACATCAGAATAAAGACAAACAGCTAGGCATGACGTTGTGACATTGTGATGTACGTTGCAGTAAAAAACAATGACGTCAAGTAAAATGATGATTGTAAAACTTCCTTTGTTCTAGCTAATATTGGCAGATATTCTTGGTAATGTGATTGAAAGAATATTGAATTTGCTTCCATTTTATGTGAGATTTATTAAACTCTTTCACTTTAAAGATTTCCACAGACAGAACCTTATTAACATGAAAAATTTAGGCTGGATCCATAAATCTCGTACAAAAGAAAAACCCAATTAAAATTTTATATCTATATCTTCGAAAATTGAACCAAAAACTTAAAAGGCCTTCAGTTTAATGAATTTTTAGCAATTTCCGAAATCACATAATAAAATTTCCTCTGAAATCTGGAGGATATGCAATATCCCCCTCGAACTCGCTACCAAACACTCTTGAAATCATTTCTTTTGCTCATTCTTAAATGTTTACTGTGCATGCTCTGTTGAAATTAAACTCTTAAAGCATAAAAGTTCAATACCATGACATTCTAACATTACAAAAGCAGTATATAGACCAGCAGACCAGTAGACAGTGGTACAGCCAGAGACGTCCCTAGAGGGTGCAGTGATCATGGATTTCATTAACTGATGTAAATAAGGTCACCTAATCTGAGGAAAATTGGGTCACTTAATCTGATGGAAACCGTTGGTGAGACCCTTAATAGAGCTGTATACTTACATACTGATTTAAACATTAACACTTGATTAGGGATTTATCATAGCCAACACAAGTAGTAATGAGATTTATCAGATCCTACACAAGTAGTAATGAGATTTATCAGATCCTACACAAGTAGTAATGAGATTGATTGGGTCCTTCAGAAGTAGTTATGAGATTGATTAGGTCCTAAGGAAGTGGGTATCACTATGATCCAGCCCAGATATTAAACAGATAGGTTTATTGGACATTGAACCATCACATGACTTGATTTATCATGTGACTTACAGCTCAGACATATCAATAGAGCCATCAATGTCATCTATATACACTAGGGCTTAACTGATATATACCTCATAACTTGACATGTTCTAGTTATTTTATTCTACACAAAAAAAAAGTCAATAACAGACAAAAATGTATTTTCCCCAGAATCTGTCTTAATCTGATAAAAAGATATAATATTGAATCTATGGAATCTATTTGCATTTACACATATACCATAAATGTGACAGTATTTGGCATACAGAAGAAAAAACAAGAAGTTTGCTAATGTCAAGAGCTCTGGCGACCAAGATCATCAATATGTCATTGGCATGGCAACAGTAGTAAACTACCTCGGCTTGCACATTTAATGTAGACATATAAAAGTAAACATGTAAGTTAACACACATCAACTTTGTTAAAAATAGCATCACATACATGTGACTAGCACCACACACATGAAAGTGCAATAAATCTGTGTATACAAACAGAGTGTGTGGGAGACACTAAATATACAATATTGTATATCAACAACAATTCCTGGGTCTACTACTGACAATTTGTACACAGGAATTGACAGGGTTAGCTTATTTCTATTCAGGTAGATGACATTTACAAAGTCAAGTGAACCATTTGTCATGAGTTCGTTCATCACACTCCATGGCACTCTGTGAACTTGAGTATTTTTGATAATATTATATCAATTTTGGATAAAAATTGAACTAATTCAGATGACTTATTAGTTTCTGTTCAAGTAAAACAGGTACGAAACAAAATAGAATCCGTTCAGATTTTGTAAAGAATTGATTTAAACATTGAAAAGGACTGTGTTTAATACAGGCATTCTAATTAAGAGTCTAAACATGTATTAGTGTGAGTGATGAACGGAAGAAATCAACAACTCTAAGGTGAAACACATACGATTAGTCATAACAGATGACCTAACATTACCTGGGAAATTCTTACCTGAGAAAGTCTACCTGTTTATTTCCATGTAACAGAGTGTAATTACAGTTGACACAAGATAGTTATAGCTTGCCTATAAATAACCTGTACAGCCTAACTTTTCTAAAGGTTTATAATTATACAAAGGGGATCTCTGGCTTGGCTACCAATGGGCCATTCAACCTCACTTAAGGTTTGTATAATTTATCTTTGGCTCAAGTTGGTGCTACTAACTCTGTCCATTAGTAGGGAGGTGTTTATCTTCTGGTCTGACAGATTAATCCTGCTCCACAACAGCAATGCTTGTATTGGTCTGTTTATTTACCCCAAATACAAAATCTTAACACTATTTCATAGATGCCAAAAAAGTAACAAATCCTTAGAGATAGTAAGTCCACTTAACAAGATTTTCTGCTATGACTATGTAACTGGGTCAAGTTGGCCTGATTTTGAGTGATACAGACGGGTATCTGTGTGATGACACTGTGATAACGTGTATGTTGTATCCTTACATGTTTTAACAACAGATAAACTTTGGCTTTACTTGTTATGACAGGTTGTGCTCCACAACTTTCATCTTCATGACCAAGTGTATGTATAAGATTAATGCTACAAGCTAGATTTAACTTAAAGCTTGGGCTTCGTGGATACCCCTGCTTTCCTTACTTTCTTATGGATCCCTGGCCCACTTGTATAAAACATCTCAACTCTTGAGATTTCCTCAAGTCTAAGATTTCCCATAGACAAACCATTGCTTGAGATTTTCCTTAACTTTGAGATGTTTTATACAAGTGGGCCCCTGGTTTTCCTATAGACACTATAACCTCCCCTAATTTGGTTTTCGATAAAACTGTAGCACAGTTTGGCCAGGACACCTCTGTTGACCGGCTGATCATGATAGCACGACAGAATAACAGTCTTGGGGCTCGGGTTCAAATCCTCGTCTAGTCCCTACTGGTTTTTTGGGGGGTTTAAATGGTCAAACTAGTCACAAATACATGACAGTACAGTGCCTTTTAATTCTGTACCCAGATGACAGTTGTAATGTCAAAACAGGAAACAACGGTGGATGTATAATGCTCCAGATTGTAATTGCACAGTACCTTTATACATATCATATAATAACAAGTGCTGTCATTTAATTTATATAGACATTAGACATACACAGGTTAGGATTTATATACAATATAACAACATTATACAGTATCTTAAATAACCAGATAAGTCTGATGGAGTGAATTCCATTTACGATCAAAGCCAGAAATTAATCTCACTACTTCTGTAAATACCGTTTCATTCCGCTTTTCAAACACCTTGAAGTGCAGCCTATCCTTATTTGAATAGATAAGGTAATGGATGTTTTGTGTCCGATGTTGTTTATAGATCTGGACAGTCAGACAACATGTGTCACTGGACCTTGTATATACTTACACATATATGGTAGGACACCAGAGATAGGACTGACTTGTACAGGGATTAGGTAGGACACCAGATATAGGACTGACTCATACAGAGATTGTTCAATCTAAGATCAGCTTGCTATTGATTTTTTATCAAATATTTCCTCAATCTTTCCCTCTCCTCCACATATCAAAATTAAATTGTTAATTGTTGCTGAAAATACTTCTGTTTTTCTATACATGAATTTGTAATGAAAATTTGTACAAAATGTAGAACACAAATATAAAATGCACATCAAACAGAAATCTAGCCATTCCAGGAAGCTGGTTATACAGTAGGGTTTGGGAACTAAATTCTACATACTACAAATCAGGTGATGATCTTGATCTGATGTTTACCATAGGATGCAAATACAATGTACATTAAATCAACTTCAGTGATTTTACTCTTTTTATTTTTTATTTAAAACAAAAATCCATTGACGTATGTTTGATTTTCAATCATTCTTGTGAAAGCTTGCTCCAACAGAGTTTGTAAAAATAGTAAAGTGACCTTGACCGCAGCACCCTGAAATGGACACTCATTCAAGGTGAGGCCATGACTAACACTTTATGGGAAAATATATTTACTGTAAATACTAATGGTGACCTTGACCTTTAGCACCCTCAAATGTAAAACTGGTAGAAATACTTTTTTATCATAATGATTAAAAAAGGCTATTGATAACCCATACAAAGCTATCAATAACCCACATAGGCAAAGCTATCAATAACCCACATAGGCAAAGCTATCAATAAAGCTATCAATAACCCACATAGGCAAAGCTATCAATAACCCACATAGGCAAAGCTAGCATTAACCCACATAGGCAAATCTATCAACAACCCACATAGGCAAAGCTAGCAATAATTTTCTAGTTCAGGTAGAGGAAGGCAGAAATAAATCTCTATTAAGGAAAAGGAAGACAACAATAAATCTCTAGTTCAGGTAGAGGAAGGCAACAATAAATCTCTAGTTAAGGAAAAGGAAGCAGAAATAAATCTCTTGTTCAGGAAAAGGAAGGCAACAATAAATCTCTTGTTCAGGTAGAGGAAGGCAACAATAAATCTCTAGTTAAGGAAAAGGAAGGCAACAATAAATCTCTAGTTAAGGAAAAGGAAGGCAACAATAAATCTCTAGTTAAGGAAAAGGAAGCAGAAATAAATCTCTTGTTAAGGAAAAGGAAGCAGAAATAAATCTCTTGTTCAGGAAAAGGAAGGCGACAATAAATCTCTTGTTCAGGTAGAGGAAGGCAACAATAAATCTCTAGTTCAGCTATAGGAAGGCAACAATAAATCTCTAGTTCAGGTAGAGGAAGGCAACAATAAATCTCTAGTTCAGGAAGAGGAAGGCAACAATAAATCTCTAGTTCAGGAAGAGGAAGGCAACAATAAATCTCTAGTTCAGGTAGAGGAAGGCAACAATAAATCTCTAGTTCAGGTAGAGGAAAGCAACAATAAATCTCTGGTTCAGCTAGAGGAAGGCAACAATAAATCTCTAGTTCAGGTAGAGGAAGGCAACAATAAATCTCTAGTTCAGGTAGAGGAAGGCAACAATAAATCTCTAGTTCAGGTAGAGGAAGGCAACAATAAATCTCTAGTTCAGGTAGAGGAAGGCAACAATAAATCTCTAGTTCAGGTAGAGGAAGGCAACAATAAATCTCTAGTTCAGGTAGAAGAAGGCAGCAATAGTTCCATTTTTCAGGTATGGGAATGCAGAGATGAATTGTTATAGTTTAGTTATAAGAAAGCAGCAGTAAGTTTCTAGTTCAGGTAAAGGATGCTGCAGTAAGTGTAAAGTCCGGTATAGACTATGGGAGGTTTAGACAGGCGGAAACAAGGTAAATCTTGAGTAAATACAAAACACTGCAGTGATTCACACAGCTCTAATAGTGAACACACCACACTTGTGAACACAGCATTCTACGAAATGTGTAAAAACTACAAAACAATGATTACAACACACACATGTAAACATATAGCACAGCTTTATGTTACAGTGATGTACCACACATGTGTGAGATCATAACACACATGTGTATACACATGTTCATGATCATACCACACATGTGTGAGATCATAATACACATGTGTATACACACGTTCATGATCATACCACACATGTGAGATCATAATACACATGTGTATACACACATTCATGATCATACCACACAAGTGAGATCAGAGCTTACGTCACACCTATGTAAAAAGCTGATCTACATCTAAAGCCACACCTGAAGCCCGACCCTAAAGGCGACTAACTCATACCTTCGGGCGACCCCTTGTCAATGTGCCCTCATCATAAGGCATACGGGTTGACGAATGCTGGAAACCATAATCATCCTCTTCTTCATCAGACGACATTGTACTTTGTCGTTTCCGTAACTTACTGAATAATTCAGTCTGTAAGAGTAGTGGTCGACATTATAACACAAAGTCATATACTCACCACAGTCTAAGTTACTTCATAGTCTAAGTTACTTCATAGTCTAAGTTACTTGTTGCATGCAAAGTCAATACGTAAAACTGACAAACATGCAAGCAGGCTTGGCAACAGATGCATTGAAATAAAGATGTGCTTTTAAGTTTCTTTCTCTAAATATTGGACACTTTTTATTCTATGATTCTATTTCTTGTCTGTATATATGGGGACACTTTTTATTCCATGATTCTATTTCTTGTCTGTATATATGGGGACACTTTTTATTCTATGATTCGCTATTTCTTGTTTGTATATATGGGGACACTTTTTATTCTATGATGCTATTTCTTGTTTGTATATATGGGGACACTTTTTATTCTATGATTCTATTTCTTGTCTGTATATATGGGGACACTTTTTATTCTATGATTCTATTTCTTGTCTGTATATATGGGGACACTTTTTATTCTATGATTCTATTTCTTGTCTGTATATATGGGGACACTTTTTATTCTATGATTCTATTTCTTGTCTGTATATATGGGGACACTTTTTATTCTATGATTCTATTTCTTGTCTGTATATATGGGGACACTTTTTATTCTATGATTCTATTTCTTGTCTGTATATATGGGGACACTTTTTATTCTATGATTCTATTTCTTGTCTGTATATATGGGGACACTTTTTATTCTATGATTCTATTTCTTGTCTGTATATATGGGGACATTTTTTGTTACGTTTTTTTTTAACTAAACTGATTAATTGGTATAATGTTTGCTATTCAGTCTTTGCGCATTGCAGAGTTATCTGCTCTTGTGAGCAGGTATTGATTGTTACGTCATTTGTTTGTGAGATTAACATCACTGGTTTGTGTGAGAAAACGACGTAATTTTCTCACACAACCCAGTGACGTAACAATCAATACCTGCTCACAAGAGAAGATAACTTTGCAATACACAAAGACGGAATAACAATAAACATGTAATGATATTATTGTTTTTTTTATCATGCTGAGCAAGTTAAGGGAAATAACTCTAGCTGTCCAGAGAAACTGTTCAATTATGTATTTCTAGTGCACCAGGTTAAACACACAGGTACATGCCTGGCTCAGCTGTTGACCTGGGCAACATTTTCTCCTCACATCTTATCTGTTAAGTTAACCAACAGGTAACAAAACACACATATCTATGTTATATTACTTTGTTGTTTTGGATATGATATTAACCCTTTGACCCCTATGTTACCGAAGTAGATTCTACCATGCATTGATTTGGATGAGTCCATTATGGTCTACAGTGGTGAAAGGGTTAACATAATAAACACACTCTCCTTCGTTCTGGCAAAAGTCTTTATCTAGACTCATTAATAAATAACAAATTTTTTCAACAATTTAAAGGGTGGGTGCCAATTTTGGCCTTCTACTACCAATATTTATTTGTTTTCTGCATAAATGTACTTTTATATGTGGTGAAATTGAGGTTAGATGGAGACCAGTCCAAGATATGAGGAGGTGATCATGAAGTGGGGGATCAAAGTCATTAAAGAGTCTCGATCATTTTGACAGAACTACCAATTATATTTTAACCGTTCTTCACAATTTTCAGTCTTTTGTTACAAATAGTTATTTTCTGACAATCTTTAACAAAACATACTAATATCTAAAGTGTAGAAAACCTCATTTTACCTTGTTTCTACATCGTTAACTAGTCATGCTACATTGCAGGGAATATTCAATTAATCCATAATCACTAAACCAGAACCAAATCCTGCGTTTGTGTTCTGATAAAAGATAATTTTTTCAATTTGTAGTCTATGCATGTCCGTATAGTTACAGGTTTCTAACACTGAAGCCATGCATACCCATTGTAGGCATTAAATGTGTTGAATATCTGCATGCATTGCTCAAACAAGATATTCATTGTATGTACCATGCATGCTGTATGCCTAAGATCTTCTATATGTATACCAAGATATTCAGAAGATCTTCAGTATGTGAACCATAGTATTGTTAAGATATTGAGTACTTGTACCATGGTATTGGTAAGATCTACATTATGTGAACCATCGTATTTGTAAGATCTTCAGAATGTGTTACATGGTATTGTTAAGATCTTGTCTATGTGTACCATGATATATTCCCAAGATCTTGATTTGTGCACCATGGTATTTGTAAGATCTTGAGTATGTGTACCATGGTATTTGTAAGATCTTGAGTATGTGTACCACGGTATTTGTAAGATCTTAACTCCATGTAAACACTTGTAGATTTTGTGTAATCTCTAGTCAGTAATTAAGTTGAACATCCCCCTGGGACACCTACCCTGAAATCTTGTTGGATGTTCTCCATGGAGACGGCAGTTTTGCGCAGGCCAGTCAGATCCCGCTGCTCTGGATTAAACACACTGTCTTCTGATATACTTCTTGTCCCTCCCATAGGCACACGTTTAAACCTGTGTTGAATAAAAAAAAAGTTTGATTCAAAATCAAATTCCAGTTCTGAATATACCGGTAGTACTAATTACCGTTCTTTATCACGATAAAAAATCTACTGAACAAATCTTCACCATCTACACTGAAGTGTGTATTAAACCTTCTCAAGACTTAAAACCTCTATCAGATATTTTCTGGAAATTCTTCCCGCTATAAAGTCCTCTAAAACTACATCTTATGCAGAACTGTATCAATCTGATATACTTATTCACAGATCTACATGTATTCGAATACAGTAATAACATAAGTAATACATCCAAAATCCGTGGTATTAGCAGCGTGTACAGATTTAAATGTTGGAGTGATTTCAGTAGACACACTGTTATTGGTGACACAATGATATACATTTCTGTTGTCAGTAGACTAAGCCACAGATCGGACTAAAAATCTATACCACAAACATCGGAACGCCTACAGTTACCCTAGTCCTTGGTACTGATGGACATGAAATATTTATAACATATAGGAGTACACATCTCCTAGGAATAATCCAGCAGAAAATAGGGTAGACAATGAATAAACACAATTACTTGGGAAGATGTACGGAAACTTTTTTTTTTCAATTTAACTTTTTTTCCCCCGCCACAATAGAGATCTCATTTTTGTACATACAGTAATGCATTATATTTTTCTACAGTTTAAAGTTTAATAAAAAAACTATTAATTAAGTAGCACTTGGACCCTTTGATCACATGTAAAAAGCCTGGTCTTAGCTAGTCATTCCTCAGAAAACAAACCAGAAACTGAAATACCAACATAATTTTAAAGATTGTTTTTAGGGAATAAAATGTCTAAAGAAGGTAAAAAATAGGATAAGTTGGGAAATGGGAAACACGGTTTATATTTTGTTTGGCCTTATACAGTTATATAGCGGCTTACAGCCACATATAGGGAACAGCTTGTCTGGGCATTCAGTGTGAAATCTCTCGACATGTTGTGTACATATTCTTCAGTAAACATATATATTACATACAGTAGACATGATAATTATATGCTCCACAAATCAACAGAAATATATGAAATAACATTTACAAAAACAGCTTTTCATAAAGTCACAACATTCCCTTGATGTCGAAGAACACACAATTTAAAACCATGGTGAAATTTCAATCTTTCTGATTAACTAATTCACCCCTGAAATTTCATAATGAACTATTCCAACCTTTGAATTGGAAGAGTTCAAATGCGTCTTCAGTGGTTAACCCATAGATCTGCTATCCATATTTGCACTTAGGAATTAATTTTCCAATAGAAAAAAGAAAGAAAAACTTTATTTAGACAACATCCGAAATTGAATTGGGTTTTGGACTGCTTCGACTTTTGATATTCCCTAGTACAGATGTAATACAATTATTTTTGATGAGGATAAAGACATTATTAACAAAAATAACAAACTCATTTCAAGGTAAATTATTTTCTTAGCTTCCACAAAATCCTAAAATGAGATATTTTATCACTGGCCTTTTCTCACAATCCCCCTTTGAATGTCAGTAGCAATGTTCATTTTGTTCCATTATGATGCTTTATTCACTACAAACTACAACTAATTGAATCACCAACATTTCCAGTGGCTCATATAATCTACTGAAGTCTGTGGTTGAGACCTTATAACAGTGAAATCTCCAGGAAATAAACACATTACCGCATCGTCCTATTTTTTTATCATCAAACTATGATCTAAAATTATGGAAGTTATTAAACTGTGATGTATTTAATGATCTGCCAGTCAGCCATAGGGTGTTACACTGGTTATCACACAGTTTCCAAATGATTCCTCAATTACGCTGCCGCCGCGCTGTGAGCATCTGATGAGAAGGCAGGGGTATTGGACTGGATGATTATGAGCCGTCAGAGATATTAAAAATACAAACCATAGTTTATATATAGCATCTTTTCATAACAAGACAGGGAGACATTGATTGACTCCGGGGTGTCGACCTCTGATTATTGTCACCATTGGAGTAATATTTCATGGTATCTACCGGGCACAGACAGTCCCCCTTATCATTCTGTTACATAGGTACCATGTGGAACACACAGTAATATACTTTAATAGATATTTTTGTTATATTATCACAGATCCTTCAGTCATTTATGTCTTTTTTCTACACCTCTTACACAGTGGCCAAAGCTAGACCTTCCTTTCTCCACAACATAAAAACTAAAACACATTTTCTAAATACAGTGGGAAATTGTTAGTCTAGACATTAAAGATAACCCTTGATTACAATCCTTCTTGATCCTTGATTTTCCTTCATAGTTCAGATAAAATGTTTTCCTGACCTTGATAACAAATAATTGACATACATGTTTCTTTATTCTAAGTGCTTTTAAAAAATGTGAAATAAAATTGTAGCTTATTAATATTCAAATGTCCAAAACACATTTGTCCAAGCTAATTGGAGGTTCAACTTAAGTTGTGTATTTTCGCACTTTGACCTTTTGCCAGTCAGTATATAAACACATTTCCAAATGATCAGTTCATTTATTTACTAACAATAGCAGTGCTCTATACTCCATGTTGATCCAATGAAATTTAACCTCTAAACCCAGTTTCCTTTCCCAACATCCAGATTATTCTACCACTAGGGATAACCTATATGTACAATGTATATACCCTGTTCCTTATCCTCTTTCCTGAAAAATTTCTATTTCCTTCAAGAGTAATGTGTCCCCGCCATTAACTTTCATCACGACCAACATCTACAGCTTCACTTTCTCAATGCCACCATTAATCTCCCTTTTAATATTGTGTCCCCTAATAACTACCTATTGTCCCTGCCATTATCCTTTTGTACCCATGAAGAGGTTCTACCACTCATCTTCAAACCCCTGTTATCCTGCCCCCTTATAATTACCCACCATACTCATCGTTTCATCCCTGTGAGGGACCTCTACAAGTACACCCCCTCCATCATACAGATATATATCCAGCTGCCCCCTTATAATTACCGGCCATCCTCATCGTCCCCGTGAGGGACCTCTACCATTACACCCCTCCCATCATACAGATATATATCCTGCCCCCTTATAATTACCCTCCGTACTCATCGTTTCATCCCCCTGATGGACCTCTACCGTTACACCCCCTCCATCATACAGATATATATCCAGCTGCCCCCTTATAATTACCGACCATCCTCCTCATCCCCGTGAGGGACCTCTACCGTTATGCCCCCTCCATCATACAGATATATATCCTGCCCCCTTATAATTACCCACCGTACTCATCGTCTTCGTCCCCGTGAGGAACCTCTACCATTACACCCTTCCCATCATACAGATATATATCCTGCCCCTTTATAATTACCCGCCATCCTCTTCGTCTTCGTCCCCGTGAGGGACCTCTACCATTACACCCCTCCCATCATACAGATATATATCCTGCCCCTTTATAATTACCCGCCATCCTCATCGTCCCCGTGAGGGACCTCTACCATTACACCCTTCCCATCATACAGATATATATCCTGCCCCTTCATAATTACCCGCCATCCTCATCGTCTTCGTCCCCGTGAGGGACCTCTACCGTTACCCCCCTCCCATCATACAGATATATATCCTGCCCCTTTATAATTACCCGCCATCCTCATCGTCTTCGTCCCCGTGAGGGACCTCTACCGTTACACCCCTCCCATCATACAGATATATATCCTGCCCCTTTATAATTACCCGCCATCCTCATCGTCTTCGTCCCCGTGAGGGACCTCCTTGTATAGAGCACTGGTAGACTTGGCTTTTACAGACGTAATGTTTGGATCTCTCTCCTTGGACTTTGAGCGCTTCTTTCCACTCTTGAAGAACTTGAACATCCTCTCTAAGGGTTTTAACTTCTTTTTCTTTCCGTCACCTCTTCCATCTGTAAGTGAAAATACAACAAAATATGAACTGAATGCCATGTTTTGGTTTGAAATAGTTCAATAGGTTTACAACCATGGACAAAAATGACAGGAGTTCTTCTACGTAGTGAATAGTAATTCTTGTGCTGTACGTATTAAATGATTTTGTACAATTGATCATTAAAATCAGCTTCTTTCTGTCCCAAACAAGAAAATGTCTGTAAGACATGAATGCCCACGTCACCATGTGAAATTAGTTTCAGGGTTTGATGTTTGACGGGACTGGATGCGACAAAACGGGATGCAACGGGACGCAACGGACAGGGGCAACACTATATGCCTCCCTATTGAGATGTGTGAAATAAAATTCTTTCCTTAATTAATGTAAACATAAACTCCTCATGATACCAATAAATAACAACATTACTGTTACTTCAGCAAACGGCATGCCCAGGTACTTCATACAAGGCTTCAACTCGAATGCAGCTCATTAAACCATCATTTATATAATAATCATGGTTCAGAAACCAGCCTGTGTTACTGTGGTTGCATTGAAACCACTTCTCACTTTCTCACTGAATGTAGGAACTATAACACAATCCGAAACCATAGCAAAGTTGGGGGTAATTGTGGACATCAGAAAGTTATTACACAGTGATCCAAACTTGTCTTGCAATGATATTACAGGACTTTTTAATCAGGTGCATTATAAGGTATATCATTGGAACAGGTAGATTTGGGTGACTGCATGGGTTTCCATTTCATTTCACTTCATCATCATCAAATCCCCCCCCCCTTACCCCTACATCTCTAGTCTCTATACTCTAATGTAAATAGTAACATTATTCTCTACTGCTAATCCTATTACCTATTATTTCAAATGGTTGGCATTGATTGTTAAAGTCTGTATAGTACAATTCAATATGTAACAGGCCTGTCATTGCCGAGCTCCAAGTACTAGTGTGCATGATCATATAGCCAGGTATTATAATGGCCAGATGATCATAAGTTTCAGCCCACTTGGACCATATCAGATGACACTGCTATTGTCCATACCATTGGACTGTACCAAATTGTATCAATGAACACAAAGAGATTCGATATAATTGGTTTTACAGTGATATGTGATGTTGTGCATCAGTATATCCATGCCACCATTAGTTTTCACCTCAACCAAAGGGAAGTAACTCTCAAATAGTCAGTACAAGTAATAGATTTAAAATTTGTAAAGCTAAAGGTAAATGCATGTATGTACTACATGTACATGTACAAAATTCCATATATAGTTGCAGTCCTCGCAAGGTTCAATTCCCTTACTTATTAAATGTTTAAAACAATTACTTCATATATACATGAAACTTGAAAAAGAGCACTGTACTTTGAGCCAAAGCTTGCAACCTCAAAATGAAATAAAGAAATTAATCAAACTACACCAAGGGTATCAAAATGCATCAGAAGAGCATTCAACTTGATCGGTTCTGTTCTCCTTCCTATTGTCAAATATGGCATCATAAAACACACACCTTGATCTTAGTAAACACTACAGAATCACTCAGTTCTATATCTCGCCATTTATTTAAAACAAAACGCATAATATATTGATTTTTACATGACTGTTCATCCCTGTGCGAATAGTTTAAATGAACCCCTATAAAATATAGATGTGCCTATTAATGGCAGAAAGAGGGAAAATAACACCCCAACAGCGATAACTTTTTCTTCTGTTTCTATGCAATCTCGTGTTTTTTAACTGACAACAATCAATAAATGTGACTCACTGGTTCTGGCTATGATTCAGAACGTCACAAATGTGAATTTACATATAGATCATACTGGCTGTTTGTATTATGTAAACACCTCCCTTGCCTGTCCAGACAACAAGCTCAGTGGAGGCCAGGTCTTCTGTATACAGGACCTGTACCTAATGTACTCAGACATGCAACAGTCTAAAGGCATTGTTATATACCCACTGATGAATAAGCTAAACCCCTGATGGAAATGTTTTACCCACTGACAGCAGTAATATACCCCTGGTAGATATTTTATACCACCTGATTGCCAGAATGTACCCCTAGATGGTGTTGTTTTGCCCCTTGATGGCAAGATCATACCCCTTGATTGCAAAATTATTGCCCTGAGTGAGGTTAGGCCCCTGATGGTAAAGTCATACCATGCCATCTGATGATGGCCTTGTTATGCCCCTATGACAAGGTTATACCTCCTGGCGGTGATATTAAACCCACTGAAAATGCAATACAGGTGTAGTGTATAATAAAGGCAGCTAATTATCTTTAAAACTCATTGACCCCTGAAGACACATTTGAACTCTTCCAAATTCAAAGGTTGGAATAGTTCATTATGAAAATTCAGGGGTGAATGAGTTAAAGAAAACTATTACTATTCTTGGTCCCATATATTAACTGGTAAGTACTGAATTGCTACTCCAATTAAAATTTCAGTCCCATATATGATTGAATTACATCTTGTTTGTGTCAAACTTACTGTTACCAGCCTTAGAGCAAACTCAGAATTCCTGTCACTAATTGTAGCTTATAACAAAATGTTATAATTTAGAATGTGTCAGGATAACCTTGTTTCATCTGATACATTACTGTTTGTGTAAAAGATTAAAGCATTATCATGAGTAATTGGCAAAATATAACTCGCTCGCATTTCAACAACTTGATTTCAATCTGATTGTCGAGTAAACTGCTTTCATGTACCCAACTGCCAATTGTAGAGTTATTATATGGGTGTCCAGTGTTTATTTGGCAATATCTCTCCACACATTTAGTATAATGAAGGGTATATAGTGAGTAGCTAGTGACTACTCTGTCTAAACCGCAGTCACTCCTGGGACCCCATCATTTAATGTCCAGTTTGCAGAGTTCTGGATTGTAGAGAGTCCACCTGTTATAACTTTGCATTATCTGAACTAAATAAATTTGCTGATTGATAAAAAAAAAATCATGATAGAACATTTCATATATTTCATATACATGTATATTTCACTTGAAATGTATTCAATGACTTCGGCAGATTTGATTTAGCGTTTAATACGCCATCTCAGTCTCTTTAAACATTTCAATCAGCTCAGTATTTTATAAAAGATTGCCTCAAGGGCCATTGACCTATCGCAATCATTGACAAGAAGTTTTTAATTTCAGCCAAGTCAACAGAAATCAAAATTTTCTATTCAACCTTAATTGGAAAAGCCAGAATTTTAATTTATTTTTTAATGGCGTGCAGGTAAACTTTGGCCCAAAAGATAGTACTTTTATTGAGATCACAATACTTGATACTGTACTTTTTTTCATATTAACAGAAAGGAACACGGATGGGTCTGAAGGGGCAATACAATGTATTTTCTAAAGTATCGTTTATCTCCCTTCAATTCCAATTGTATTAAAACTGGTTTTGACCTTATTGTTTTTGAAATCCCTCTATGAGTGCATCTATATTTATATCATATACATGAACATATATCACTAAGTGAAATTACAGAACCTTCAGATCTCTGCATTGTGAAAGAATCTCTGGAAACAACAGCATGGAAGAAAAAAAATATTACTAGATATAATGCATGCACACAATTGATGCAAGGGCCTAGCTATAATTAGTGTCATCATAATCTGAGAAAGCAATATTAAAGGTTCCGTTGAAAGACAACGTCCATTAATTCCTACTCTAGATCAACAGGATATAGTCCTGGTTTATTTAAAGCTTTAAGCAATGTGAATCATGCAACTGTTTCTGTGTAATAACAACTTTTTATAAAATTCACGGTACTGTATACATGTCCTGTAGTAAGTCCGAGGAACTGGTACATAATCTCTCTAAATCAGAGTAGGCTATATATATTACAGAACAATGAGATAGCATTTGTTGGCATCTCTTCTTAACTGCAATGGATATGGGTGGGCTTATTGCTTAAAGACATGGGCTTACTGCTGGATAAAGTTGGTAACCAATTGTTGGGAAGAAAGGAATCTAAAGATTATCTGGATATAATGCTCTATTTAAAGATTCTTTTATTATTAAATGGGGTGCATCTGGGTGTAAACTCATCAAATCAGTATCATATGATATCTGTAAAATAGATTTGAACGTTTTACCAATCTCTGAAGCCTATTAGACTCTATCATTGGCACTGTACATTGTTCAATATAGCAAAATTTAAATGAACTCTCATTAGGACTGACAGTCCATAATGTGTTTATAATGACCAAGGTGTCGGGAGTTCCAGAGGTATCAATGCGATCGGGCTGACATTCTACACTCTATCCCCTTAAGTTAAGCCATACATACATTGGTTAAAAAGATGAAATGTATCTTCCATTCATATCAGATATAATTACATATTCAACAAAATGAATGTACTGAGTAAATTTCCTTGGTAACTCACTGCGCATACAAGTCAAAGTCGTAGGTCATTTGTCTCAAAGAGACCTGATCGCAATGGGAGAAGGCTGCAGAGAATGCTTATACTGGCAAAGAATATACTTCAGAGACAACTAAACAGATTCAGCAAACCAAATAGTGAAAATTCAAAACAAACATTTTTATCAAACAAGGTGAAATATGTCAAGGTATTCAATAGTCTCCTAGCTAGCTATCTCAAGACCAACTTACTGTAAAGAAAGTATTTGATACAGATTAATAGCATTTTTCCCCCCATGATTGCAGTCAGAGGTGAAAATATAGAAAACAGTTTCTTGATTTTGGTACAGTAAATTATGCCATGTCAGTATTTGCTTACAAACCAAATTTTGTTACTCCTGGAGAAAATAACATGGAATATTTTTTTGCCCCTGATAAAGTTTTTCAATGGCTAAGGTCTGATGTTCACCTTTGCTGGAACTGCAATCTGCCATCTAAAGATGTACTTGCATACAAAATCTGGTTATATAATTACTTTAGATGAAATAGTATAGAAGATGTGCACAGGTGTAAGATCAGGACCTTACCTCACATTAAAATGTCGATGTGAAATTGTACGATTTATTGTTTAATAACAGAG